GAAATGGTTGGAACAGCATTAGTGTCTACAGTAGAATACGTTTCACCTAAATCGTCATCTTCCTCATTATCGCTTAAAGCTGTAGATGAGGTTACGGAGTCTATATTGATTGATTGAGATTGCTCATCGGCCAACATTTCTCTTGTAAGAATGTCATTATCAATGCTCACATATTCGAAGCAATTGAAATCACTCAATTTGGTTTTAACTTGTTCTTCGACAACATTGAGACATTTTCGTCTGGGTCATACTCGTAGTCAGAGTCTTTATACTTTTCTAACCATTCGTTAAGTGGACTTTCATTCGTCTGGTTCATAATCATTTTCTTTTCTTACAAATCCCCCATGCTTAAAGCAATTTGCAATGGTTGACTGCATCTAAGAGATTTATAGAAAATGTTTCAGTTTTATCGAGCGCCTCTAAGGTTTTAATATGAAGAATTTTTCACCGGCAGACTATCCAACAATTTTTCCGCTACTGATATTATGCCTTGAAACGCTCTTCCCAACTTTGAGAACAAGCAAACTCTTTGTTTTTGATTTTACTCCCCATTTTACTAGCATTTTCTTGCAAAACACTGCCACTTATGAGAACCTTTTTATGTGCAGATAATTTTAACTTCCTACATCTAACATTTGTTTTGTCATACGCTGATAAAATGATTTCTCTGTTTTTCCATATTGTTGCAACAGTAGACTTTTCAAGTGCTAATTCGTTACAAATGTCACTCTGCTTTACTCCACTTGTTATTTTGTTAATAATCTCGTACTTTTCATTTAGTGAAAAACTTAGCGTTTTTGTTTTTCCATTCCAAAAACAAGTCACTGCCTGTCTCTCGATCTCACCAATATAAACAACCCATGATTGGTGTTGCTGAGCGTGGAAGTTTGTTATAAACGGAAAGTGAATAAACAACTAACCTAAAAAGTGATCGTTATATCCGGAGGTTCGTTATAACCAGTAAAAAAATATGTTGGTCCTTATGGACGACGTTTCAATTAAAGGAAAAAAGTTCGTTTTAACCGAAAGTTCTCTATAACCGGGTTCATTATAAGGGGACTTTACTGTAGTTAGAAAAAGTGGCTTTTCGTTTTTATTCATTTTTGAAGTTATTTCAAATCATATCAAAAAACAGAAAATATGTCTATGAAAATATATTACAACGATGCTTTGAAACCATCACCAACTTTTGTTTTTCATATGGACTAAATAAAAGTGCATAACTGGTATTTATCGTATTAAATTTATGCATCGCATTTACTAATATGGATCGTATTTAATAATATTACAGCAACAACTACGACTATGAGCGGCTGGTACAATATACACCCCGATCTCACGTCAATGTAATTTTCTCATTTTCGCCCAGAGGCGGGATTTACGGGCTTACGAGTAAAACGACGCGAAACCCATAGATAAAGACCATACTTGTCTTTATCCTTAATCATTCTATGATAAATACTTTATGATAAAGACTGATTAAAGATGAAATCATAGAGTAAGTAAAATAAGTTATTTTACTTTCTCTGTGGATGAAACCGTGTTCCGATGGAAAGTGCCCTAGCTGTATGATATTTAAGCTGTGGCAATACATCAGCCATATGGAAAAACTAGTGCGCTTACTCTATTCAAAATTGCCAAACGGTGCCTTAGCTTGGTGTTCTTAGCTGCGAGTTCAACAACTTCTGGATCAAAAGCTTCAAAAGTTCCCAAAGCAGCTGCCCTTTTAAGCTTCTCAGTCTCTTTAGTTAAATAGTCTATTTGAACTAGCTGCAGGTGAAAAGCCGAATGGCAATTAAACAACTTTTGCAAACATACATTGAAATGAACTTACAGCATCTTCAGCTTCCTTGATATATTTTGCTAGAGTCGATTCCTTTTCCATAGTAAATTGATAGAAACCAAAAATGAAATTAACATTCAACTAAATCCAAACTTTAATAGAGGTTAAGGGGGCTTTCATTTAGACATCTCTTCTGTTTCTAGCCGCGTGCAAAAGTTTGTGAAATTGGGCGGGGCAAGGGCTAGAATTTCCTTTATTGATTCAAAATTATACATTGCATTTAGTGTAACAAAAATAGATTCATTCTTTCTTGATTTCTTCAGTTTCATCTTCTGGCTGATTATCTTCAATTTTCTCAGTTTTTTCCTCGTTGGCTTCTGGCCCAGAAGAACCAGCCTCTTCACTATCTTTAACTGAAGAAGGCTCAGTGCTGGTATTCAGAGACAACGCAACATCATTTAACTTGCCGTGGATAGCAGACAAAGCATACATTTGCTTCTTTAATACATCTTCTTTGGCCTCAAAGTTTGGCCCTATGAAGTACCGAATTAATTCAATACTATTATGAAATGGTTGAAACACGCCTTGGGTCGGCCTATGAAGCTTCTTCAAATTAAGATTAATCATTTCAATTTGAACTTCAATAAGCTCTTTCGTGAGTTCCACGCTAACAGCCAAGTAACAGCTCGGTCTCACTTCTCTTAAGATGTTGCTCAAAGTCTCCAGAGCATCGTACCGTCGCTTTTGAACTGCATATTGCGATTCTATGTCTTCTTCATAAAAGGCCACAAATCTAGGGACAGTATGAAGCTTTGAAATGAGCCACTACCTGGATTAATGATCAATTTTACCTATACAACTCGCTTAAATCCAGACACGAATTAACATACTGCAATGGAAAATCGCGCAAAGTATAGTAAAGTCTGACTCTTTTCATCCATTTTTGCAAATACGCAAAAAGGCCCTTGGCTTGGTCACAATTTTTAATCAGACCAGTAGGAATTGCTTTGGGCAGCTCTATTTCAAGCCCTTGGAAATGGTACGGATTCTTCGGGCTAGAACTTTCCGAACTTCCGGCTGAAACAGTTTATTCAGTAAGTTGAATTATCAAGCAAATTTCCAAGTGTAGGTACAGTTTTTCTTTAGAACTTCGCTCTCAATACCATCGCTCTCAATGTGTTTGGAAATCAGCGACTTTCGGCTTGATTCAAAGAGCTGCAGTCCATAATATATCCAAGAGCGGGCCAAGTCTGCCTGAGCCACATGAATTTCCGGATTGGGGATTAGGGCTACTTCAAGTGGGTTTAAAATGCTTTCCGCTGCTATTAGGTGGTACCTAATCGACAGATTTTTGCACAAAAACAGAAAAAATAGAAATGTAAAAAGGGAATATTTAAAAAAATCCCCAAAATGGGGCAGACCTGAAACACCGCAACTGGACTGACACTACAGAACATCCCCCCACGGGGGGACTGACACTGTCATCACAGATCACAGAATAACCTTTGTGATCTGTGACTGTCATCAAAATGTAATTACTTATCTGTATTTACTAACTATTATTACCTAAGCACTTAGATTGTATTTTAATGATGATTCGCCCCAAGAGTGTTTTGCTCATGAAATCCCAGGACTCTGAAGATGGCCCGGACAAATACGAGGACATTCTCAGGGCGAATGCTTTTGAGGTTAACCGAGTGAAAACACTGGTTTTCAATTTTAAAAATCTCCAGAAATTAGCCGAGAAATTGGCAAATCGTGACGAATATAGTGGAGTAATTTTCTCAAGTCCCAGATGTGTTCAAGCAGTGCAGTTGTCATCAGAGATTTCTAATCATTTGGAGCAGTGGAAGGTGAAAGACAATTTTGTTGTTGGGGAGACCACCTACAAAGCTGCCCTGGATAAACTGACCTGGAATTGTACTGGTGGAAGCGCAGGAAATGCCAAAAACTTAGCCAACGATATTTTGAAAAGTACGTAACCCCAACAACCCCCTTGAGATAATCCCTGAGGTTTATAAATAATTCTCAAGACAAGCTGAAGTATTCCAAGCCATTCCTGTTCCCGCATGGGAATTTGAAATCGGATACCTTGAATTTGGAGCTGGAGAAAGAAGGGCTCCAGTTGGATGGCGTGGAGGTTTACGAAACAACACCCAACCCCAATATTGAGACTGATTTTGCGAATGTTACAAGCCAGTTTCATTCAATTCCCGAATATATTGTCTTCTTTAGTCCATCTGGTTTCAATTCTTCCATAGATTTGATAGGGAGAGTTGCCACAGACCTCAACAAGCTCAAAGTAAGTAAAGGATGAACACTAAATTTTATAAAAGATTGATGAAATTAAGTAGTTAAGAGAAAAATTATAATAAATATGTAATCCCTAAATGCAAGTCATAAATAGTTGGTTTTTCAGCGCAAGCAATTAATTGTTAATTAATCATTTTAGTTTATTGCCCTAGGACCAGTAACTGAGTTGGCAATTTGTGATAAAAATATGTTGGTTTATGGAACAGCAAAAAAGCCAAATCCTGAAGAGCTTCTTAAAGTCATTTTAAGCTAATTTTGACTTTCTTCCTACTCAATTGACTATGACACAATTATGTACTAACTCAATATTGTAAATAAATATCATACTTACATTGCGTTTGGCCAATCGCATTGACCAATAAACATCCCTCCTAATCTGAAGCAGGATTCCGCCCATCTGAGAACATCTCCCTCACAAGAATCCAACTGTTTTTGCAAAATATCATGTTGCACTTTTAAATTGTCTTCGGTTTCCCCTAATCTGGCATGAATCCAGGCCAACATTTGCATATTGTTGATGGTGAGTCTATTGAGTTTAGTTACTGATACCTTCGGATCCTTCTTGGTGTTGAGAAAGAGGTCATCTGTACTGCAATTGCAATATTTGATAAAATCAATTTAGGCTCCTATCTAGGCCCCTACCTGAAGACTTCAGGACTGCACTTTGTCTCCTCTTCAATTGCCCTTAAGAGCAGTTCTTTAGCTTCTTGAAGGAAACCCAGCCGGGACAAAACATAAGTCAGATGATTCACAACGCGCATATGAAGAAAGGCTACTTTAGGATGGTCGGAAAAATCCTTTATCAACTCCAGGGATTCTTCTAATAGAGTCTTACTGGGGGTCAGGAGGTTTTCGGATAGGAGAATTTTCGCTTTTTCATATATAATTGACGCTTTCATTGATATGACTTTTAAGTATTCTTCGGAGTCTTTGTGTTGCTTTGCTAATAACAGAAAACGTGAAATACCGACCGAATTTCCAAATTCCTTTAAAAGTCCCTCTAAACCTCTTACCAAGTGTTTCCTCAATTTTGGTCAAAATCAATTCAAATTGCTGGTGCAAGGGATTGTGCATTTCGTCGCCCACAGTTGGTTGCGCTTGTCCGAGTTTAAAAGATACAGAATGTTTCTTCAGATCGTTGAAGCAGGACTGCAGGTCATTAACCAACACGAACTCCGAGTTTTCTGCCATTTTATTCGATTTTTTTGTGAAATCGAAAACGAGTTGTCACTATAATTTTCTATTGACAATTACGGAATATTACTGTTGGTAACACCAGTTTATTCCCGATTGTTAAATACAGATTATTAGAAAATGTATTCAGCGATTGTTCTCGAAAACATAAAACATGTTTTCACCACACCATTGTTTCAATAAATATCTCAATATCATTTTTTTGATATAATGAAATTTCATACCAAATACAATACATAGTTAATAAATATCAGGAAAACGTAAAAGCAGAGTCGCTCTCACACACTATATTACTAATGTTCTTAAGTTGAACTCACCGCGCGTAATCAAATTATAAACTATAGTCGCTCAAAAGTTTAATGTCGTTAAACAACCGATACTAATCTGCTACTCAATAAAGCGGTTGGCGCTGGACTGGATGCAGCGAAATCTCCAATTACAGCTGGAATTTGTTTTGTCAGGACCAATAAAAAGTGCAGTGTGGTGCGGGTGTTCAAGAAGCGCGCAGAGCACGATCGTCTAAAAAATTATAATTCAGCGGTAGTGTAAGTAGGCAAATTATTTTATTGGTCGACTTTGCCTGCGCGGTTCGCACATCGCCTACATTTATTATTGTTACTTAAAAAAATATATTGGTGTTTTAGTAATAAAAACTGGTTTATTGAGTTACACATTTTAGTTTTTTGGGGAGCTTTGCAGCACTGCTGCTCTTGTGTACCAGACGCCACTGAAAACAATTCAAGGTGGCTAAAATTGTGTGAATTAGAAACAACTGTGTTACTGAAATTCTTTATTTAGCATAATATGAAATTGCCACATTACAGAGTTTATCACACGTTACAGTGATTTTAATGTTTAAACTATGTTCCAGCCTTTACTTGACAATATCATATATGAAGAACAGGATACATCTCCAGAAGGATACATTTGTTGAAATAAAATTTATTTTTAAGGAAAATAAAATACAGTTTGACAATCAGAAGGTGGGAAAAGTTATTAAAAAATTTACAAATTCTCATTTGGTCGTAAAACCCTCCCGGTTGCTCATAAACAAAATGGTACAATTAAACAAAGTCAAAGCTAATATGTAAGAAATTGCCAACAAGAGGACATTCGTAACAATTAAAACGATTTTACATAGTAACTGTGGCGTTATTCCGGTAAATCATCCCTCGGTTGATCTTCCACTTCAATGCTCTTAAATACTGCTCCATTGATTGGCCGATTTCCTGCAAAACGTGTATTTTTATTAAAACCTGCTTAAAGCGAATTATAGATATGGCGAAGTCTGTAAAAAAGCTTTGCCATTAATTAATGTGGGTTTTTGAAAGTCCCATGAGCGATATAAGCAAACCTTTGTTTCTGCCCTAAAGTGATATTTATGGACCAATTGATGAACTATTCATTAATTTTAGTGCAATATGTTGTTAATTGATCCCAAATAGCACGTAAAAGAAAAATTGGTCGAATGCCCCCTATATTGATAAATCGATTTAAATGTAGGTACAAAAATGACCGAATAACAAGAATATTGAATAGTTTCAGACACCAACTTTTAAAAAATTTTTGTTTTTTTTTAAATTTTACTCTAATTATTTTTGAAGCTAAAACGTATTATAAATTTTTTTCAATTGTATGTTTTTCGACACTTAGCTAAATTGACAACCATTTTAGTCAATCAACTTATGTGTTTCGTATTTTTCCTATGAAAGGATTGAATAGCTTAATTAATTCACAAAGTCTATAATTTTTAAGAGACGTGATTTTTAACTTTACATTTACTCCAAGTTTCTATTGTGTGCGCCGTCAAATAAGTAACTCTTATGGCTTCATTTCAGTATTAAGTGGATTTTTATACGATATAAACCAACCATGTTCAATACATTTGGCTCGTAATTTCTTTTATGACCTCTCGATGTGTTTATCAAAGTCCTGCAAACATGATTCACCTGAATGTACAGGGTGTCATTTAATGTGATAAGAACATTAATTTATTCAATGATCAAAAGTGAGTGAAACACGTTCGACTATTAATTAAATGAAAATTGACTAAGCAAAGTATATTTCCAAATTATCGCATGACTATGTAAATGAGCTGGTTACAAAGTGTTCATTTGCACCATCGATATTCTTGAGGATCGTTTAAATATTCAATCATTTTTTATAAATTGCCATTAAATGTAGGCAATTACAGTTTTTTAACATACATATATATCCAATGTCCTCTCTCTAAATAACGTTTTTTGCTAAATAAGTGAATACGACACAGTATACACATTTCGCAATAATTACCATTGACAAGAACATACGCCCAAGGAAGATCTTCGTATGGTTCTTCGTTGGATCGGCCTATTCTCGGACCAAACCACATATCAGTCGCCTTGGGATCGCTCCTTTTGTGCAAAGTTCCGGCAGAATTAAATTTCCAGGTTTTGTCGTTTTTACCTACACGCGGATTTTGAAGAAATTGCGGCAAAGAGCGCTTGAAGTCTGTAAAGAAAAAAGTTTACCATTGAATTAACAAGCGCGCTTAGGAACTCTGGAGGCACACCGAAGTACCTGGGTTCTCATTGTCTATGTCTGAATGTTCAGAAATAGAGCTTGTGTATAGTGGTGTGAATGTGTTCGGTGTAATTGCCATGTTTAAAGCTCTTTTTCCGGTTCGAACAATCCCACGCAATCGCCTTTGGGGAGCTGTAATAATGCACTCAAGTGTATATCAAAATATTTGATTAAATCTGAATATATCTGAAAAGTTACACTTTTGCCCCCATTGCATAAAAGTAGGAAGTTTCAGGACTTTTAGCCAGAAAAACTCAGCAGTTTGAAATATCAATTTCTTTGGGTTTTTTACTTTTGGGATTTTTCTAGGAACTTGATGTTTAACTATCAATGAAAACTTTACCCCGTCGAAAAGTTGCTTAAAGGCACTGCTTAATCAGGAAGCTGATTTTCAGGTATTTTCAATTTTATATAATCTGCCATTTTTTTTAAGTCGTTTACTTAAAGTCGGGAACTTGTTTACTTGATGGCATCTTAAGAAGGCGAATATTTTGCAGATTGCTGAAGCAACGCCGAACTTTTAAATTACAAGCTTTTGGCAGTGAATACTTTTAGTTTTATTGAAAGTATCAGGATTTTAATAACTACCAATGTTCGTTACCAGTAAGTTTTAGCTCGAGAATGGTTTGTACAACAAGTGGGAAAACTCACCTTCTTCGTCATATTCCGAATCGCCAAATCGTTTTCCTACTCGCATGTTCATTCGCATCGTCCGATGCACGCGGTTCCGAATATCTTTTAAAGGCACTGAAAATATACCTTAATTTACTTCTGATGCAAGCGATGAGGACATTTTGTTCTTCTCTACTTGTGCAGTTTAATAGCAGTCTGCTTCGTTTAGTGTTTTAGACTTAAGTGGAAAGATGAGAAGAAAAAAAGTCTTCATAAATCAAATCCAGAAGAACAATGTGGAGGAGAATTGTCTAAAATTGATACTTACTATACAGATGAAAAAAGGAGTAAATTACAATTTTTACTTCAGCTGCATGATTATAAGTAGGCATACAATTTGCATCTAAGCCTTAAACATATTTCCTCCCTTAACTTTGTAAACGTTAGTTCAAATCTAAATAGTGATGATATTTTCCGAGTATTTTTTGGCCCAGATTTCGAAAGCCGCTCAATTTGCTAGTTTCAAAAGTGTAATATTTGAAATTCTATGAGTGCCGCTGGAACATTTTATTCGAGTTTCGCTCTATCGCTTTAACAATGGAAAATATTTATGGATAATTGTTTTAAGCAGTAGAATAAATTTGCATAAAATCTGCACTCGTGAAATCCCAGTTTAGGGTTCAGATTGCTAAAGCTTTTATGCTAAATGGCAAATGAGTTTTTCGACTTCCAAAGCTGATATGTGTGGAAGACGCAACTAGAAGAATAATCGAAAAAAAGCAGAAGCGAATAAAGAAACAACTAGAATAAAAACATTGGAAGGAAGACCCGGATCTCCAGAACTCCAGAAATTTATATTGGCAAATAAACTCTTATGAAAACTTTCAGGAAGAAAATCTTTTGCGCATTTTTTTGTCGTTAAAACTGAAGTAAATTTGGTGATTTTTCAATAGGAATAATTTTGTTTCACGTTCTTCTAAATATCTCGATGAATAATCGACTGATGTAAATAAAACGAAAATATGAAACACTTAAGCATCATCTTTTCAAAGCTCATGTTTTATTATATCGAATAAACGGGCCAATTTTCGACATAATAAAAATGCCTGAAGATATGTGGAAATAGCCAGAAAAACAAATACATTTTCAATGCTATCACCGGTGAGTTTTTGTGGGAGGGTGGCCTAAGGAAATGTAATTTTCAGAAATCCATCTTCGAGCTTTGCACATGTTGCTTTGGGATAATTGACTTGAGTGATACTGTTCCAGCAAAGAAATATATGGAATGCATACAAAAACAGCTTTTAGTAGGTGAGAAAAAATATAAATTTCATAAAAATTCTTGAACATGGGAGATTTTCCTTCTGTTGTTTCTAAGTCCAATTAAGAAAAACCATGGGGATAAAATGAGGGGAAGATCGAAAAGTTCTTCGAATAACATTTTTCCTATAAAGGGTCAACAGCGGTTCTTTTGACAAACATAAGTTCTTAAAGATTACATTCTAAATCCGCATGTGTGAAAGATGGAATTGGAATATTCTAATCGTCGGTTGCTGTATATTTATGTTGTTTGATTTACATGTTTTTTTTGTGGCAACCATATTCCTAAGAAAGGCCAGACAGGGGCTATTATTTCCTATTGGTGAGCGGAGGTTTTTTATTTGAATTTTTTCTGCTACATGCAGGCTGAATAGCCTGCAGCATAAATTTTCAATTATTGGTACAGAGCAAAATCAATTTTCAAATATAAGCTATTATTTGCTATAAGCGGAAATACTGAACACAAAAAAAGGCAAATTTTAGTTGATTTTGTGTATTTTTACATTAATTAAATTTTTTTGGAACAAATCGCTACTGGCAATATTTCCAGTCTCAATCTCATTTTAACACTCGTTTCTCCTTTGGAGTCAGTTTTAATAGCTGCAATGCTTAATGGGGCCTTTTAGGTAATATAATTATTTAAAATCAAGTCTCTTGAAGCTTTATCAAGAGACTTAAAGAACTCACTCACAACTCAGAAGAGAAGAACATTTTATCAAGGAAATATGTTGATAAAATAGTTCCCAATCCCTTTAAAAGCTTTAGGAGCTTTAAACCACATCAAAACTATCCTCTTGCATTGACTAACTTTTCAAAGTAGAAAATATGATCGGTAAGTTACTTACACATGGAATCAGTGTAGTCACTAATCACCTCACAGATCGCGCAAAAAGCGAGCAAGACGATACCGAACCAAAAGAACTTCATCCTGTCGGTCTTTGCAGCGTCTTGCACCGCAACAATTGGCTGAACCGGGGCGGTTTTTTCCCTTTTATAACAAATGAGCAGAAGCCAGAGGGTCTTGAACAGGAGGGAAAAGTGCGCCAACAGTATTGCACCAACGATCCACATCTATACCTGCTTGATTGCAATATCTATGCAATTAGTTATTTATTTCATTTGTTCTACTTTCGAAAATCATTGAATTCATTTTTCGGGAAATTAAGAAGAAGTTGATTTAGAATCGAAAATCTGATGGCAGTGTTTGATTGATGGTAAGTCGAAAGAAATGTTTGCATGTTGAGTTCAACCGCGAGCTCATTAGGTAAGACTTAAAAACTTGAAATGCTTCTCTGCGATACACTTTTTGAATACTTTTGCATTTTACTGCATTTTAACATTGTTATGAGGAAACCTGAATTTTTTGAAAGAATTAAAATGTTTGTGATTATAAAATTAAAAAACGAAACATTTGTAATAAATATTTCTGCGCGTTTTACACTTTTTGTTTTTTGAATAATCTGCCCTGTCGACTTTTTTGAAAAATCCAATTATCAAAAATCGACAACCAATTGATAATCTAATAATTGTTAAAAACTAAAAAAGTTAAAAACGTGTAGGTAGGTAATCCTTTAACAAAAAAATTGATTTTGTGTTCGAGTTGGACAGTTCTATAAGGACACATTGAAAATGGCTTTATGTAAATGTCTGACCAGCCCTTTGCACATGAAATCTCTTTTGTTACTAAAAAACAAAATTATATCAGAACTTATGCAACAAAAAAAACAAATCTGAATATAAAGTAAGAAGATGGAGCTAAGTGAAGATGAGCATATCACCAGCCAGCGAAAATATTAAAAGTGAAAAAAGACTGAATCAATTCTAAAACAAGTGTGGTATAGAACGGTTGTGAAAGTCTCACGTGCTTTTTTCGACATGATAAAGACCCATCAGATGCTTCTACTTTTCAAATTTTTATTTTAGGTTGCTTTATTATCCTGATTTTAACATTGCTTTATTGAAAATTATCATTATATTGTTGAATAGTATGATTATTTTTATTACTAGATATTATATGAAACGGACAAACACAAATTATGACAAATTAACATGCGTATTTTTAAAATGAATGAGAACAGTATTTCAAAAACAAATAAATTCCGACAAGTGAATTGGAAACAAAAATTAGTTAAGTTAAATTGGTGCAAGAACAAAAAAAACCCCAAAAAAATACAGACTGTTCGATTTAAAGGAATTACTAGTGACATCAAGGCAATTGCAAGCACAAAAATGCTGCCTAATCAAAGGTCTTCTGTAAACCAACTGTCTTACTATTTCTTACGTCCGTATATAAAATAATTGGGGATTTTAAATTCAGATAAGACTTCATCCTGTATCATTTGATAAATTGATAAACTGGGATTTCTTTAACTGCATTTGATGGTTTGTCTTTCTAATAACATTCTATGTTGTCCTTTAWCAGTTCACTTTAATGAGACTTTTTTGATCAAAATGGTTTCTCATTCGTTTCAAAATCCAGTATAGTMASTACAAGATAGATRCAAGATAGATAGAAGTATATACAKTGAAGTACAAGATGATCACATTTTTGCCGTTTTTCTATATAAATTATTGAAATCAACATTAATTTTCAAGCAGGTATTAATAAAAAGCTCTTAAAAATACTTCAGACTTGTTAAGTTAATCAACTAAATGACCACCGAAAAAGAATTTTTAGAGCAACAAGTAATTACAATAATTGATGTGGAAAATGTGATCTTTTAGCCACCTTCACACAAAATAGCAATTAGGAAGCCGTCGCTTATGATTATTAAGATTCTCTCAGTTGCCAAAGGATTAGCCTTGTGACAATAAATTTTCCAACGGTTTAATAAAATTGGGTTTGTTCAACATAAAATGTGCATGGATTGAACGGCGATTTATCTATCTGACATGAATCCTCAACTATTTGAGCCGGTAAAGACAATGCCCAGCTACTTCTTGTATGTCGGATGACTCTTTTCATTTTAAACCGTTGTGCACCACTAATCTCGTAGCAATGTTTTAAACCAAAAGGGCGATTCTTTAATTAAATTGCCAGCTCGGCCGTCAATGGCTGGTTTTTATACTTTCTTTCTGAGAGCAAAGTAACTTAGTATAGTCAGCATGAGGAGCTTTCACAAATAGAGAACCCCTAACCAAGACCAGACTAAAACTCCGAGTTTCAATGGAATTCAGGAAAGTAATACAGGACCGTCTTGCTACTACAATACAGCGTTAAAAAATATGATTAAGTTTTTAAAATCACTAATACAAAATTAAACTCGGTACTAAAAGTGGTTAATTGATAATTCAAGGTTTGGAAATGTACTGACCTAACATAGTCGTTAAATTGTACTAACAGTTAAAAGCAGTTTTCGCGTAATTATAGCTAAAGTCACTTTGAACAAATTAGGTCAGTTGAACTTATACACCAAAAAACATACATTATCTATGGCTAATTAAATTTAAGATCAGTTATACAGTTGGGTCCGGATATAACCGGATATACAGTTGGGTCCGGATGAAAAATGATCTAAAACTGGTTCGTTATATTCGTTATAACCAGTAAAAAAATGCGTTGGCCTTTATGGACGACGTTTCAATTAAAGGAGAAAAGTTCGTTTTAACCGAAAGTTCACTATAACCGGGTTCATTGTAAGCGGATTTTACTGTATTAATAATCAATTTCAATGAAATAAATACAATAAATTAGTTGAGTTAAGAGTTAAAACAGTAATAATTTCCATGTATATTTTTTTCAAACGATTGTAAAATGCTTGATGCGATACTAAAACCCTATAAGACACCTAAAACCCTATTGAAAGTTATTAATTTAAAGTTTCAAAAAGTTATTAGTCGGCTAGACCGAGATACTCTTTCACCACCTATGAGCTTAAGATATATGTAGAAAAAACCATCTTGGCCAGGTGAGTAAAAGCCCGCCTTCAGTTTCAACCCTCAACCCTTTACGTGCAACATTAAAAATCTTACAGCTTTCTCTAAAATGCGTTCTCCATTATAATTTAGACAAAGCAGGGTTTGTTTAAGAGGATCGCACAAGCTTTGCGTTTTTTTTCAAAACATTTTCAGTGCAATTCCGGAAACTAACAATATCTTTAATGTTGTCATTAGTAAAAACAACATTTTTTAGTAGTTGATTAAAAAACAGTAACATTTGTATCAACGTTTAAATATGTATTTCTTCACTCTAAACATTGGAAAAACTGCTGTTAAATAATAGATTATTGCTAAAAGCAATAGAGGTAATAAATCGAACAATTGGAGGCGTTTTTTTTAAATTAAAAACATGCATAGTTTACAAGTTTAGCCGGGTTTTTAATAAAACGTGTTTGATGAGTTTGAAAAACGCGCCGAATTGGGATCGAAAAGGCTCCGAACGTGCTTGGATGGGCAAATGAATACATTAAAAATGTTTATCAATAGCAAATACATAGTTTTTTCGGCGATTTATCATCTTGTATAAAAAATGTTTGGCAAAAACTCAATTAGGTAAATACAATCTCAATATAGGGAATTGTATGAAGAATCTAATGGATAAATGTTTAATCCTCAGTTTTTTTGCTATAAAGGAGGAAAGCTGAAGCCTTAAGAAAAATTACAAAGACTTGCATAGAACTCGGCTAATAAAGCATGAAGGAAGCGACTTCAACATAATATTTAACTAATTAGTAATACTTTAAAATATAAAATAAATCGACTTTAAGGCCAGCTAAAAAGACAAAAACTGTAAAAGAAGAGGACAGTTAAGCAAATTAATTGTATTTTAACATTCAAAATTTGTAGCCAATTAGATGCCATCTTCTTAATGACATTTTAAGCTGTGTTTCCGATCTATTTACAAGTAAAATTATTGAGCTGATTATTAATTCATCTGTTTAATTCGTTTTAGGAGGTTTTCTGAGTGATGACTGCTCTTACATAAGAATAGCCCAGTAACAATAATATTTTTGCAACAGAGTAAAGTTTTCCAAGTTTTCATTGATTGGAACTGGAGAGTTTTTCGGACTTTTAGACCGTCCTGGAAAACAATTTCGTCCTGCTCTTTCGCAAGCACTAGTGCCTTGCATCTTCAGAGGTGGATGCTGCGCCGAGCAAACCAGCGGTTTTATAAATGGTTCTTCTTTCTCTAACAGCATTTTAATTGTTTTGGTTTGAAGTCCTGTAGAACTCGGTTTGTTGATCGGATGTTAAGTTTAAAGCTTCATCTTGGCAGAAATCTTTTAAATTTGGCCACATTTTTTGGCTAACGATGATGGAATCCACAACTAGCGTTGTCGTTCTGCTGTGTGTGTGAAAGCTGCCTCCAGATTAAATTGGCAGCTTGCTTAAAAAGCACGAGTAAAGCGTTTACAAAGTTTAAGTGAAATAAAGCGTAACACTTTGTCGTTGTCCAGGCCGAGGTTAATTTTCGTGACTTGACGACACACGTTTTGCATTTGTAATATCCGATCGCTCCTTTCCAGTATCACCAAATTAAAAGCGAATTGAACTGTTTATAGGTTCACGTTGATGTCGCTACATCGAAATTAACATTTCTAAATTTAACGGACTCGACTCTGTTTCTATTAAGCAAGTTAACTCATTTTTCTATTTACTGGCATTTTGCTTGTTGATGTTTTTTTAAAATAATTGTGACCAGAACTAATTAAGGGGAATAGAAATATATTTGGACAGTTACCAATGTGCATTCTTAGAGTAAAACGTAAATTATCGCAAATGCCCCAAAAGTATGTAAATAGAAAGGCTTGCCCACATTTTAATGCCATTGAGACATTCACCCAATCGTATCTTTGTTGGGCTACTTATGGCTGCATTTTCTTTTATTTTCATCATTAGGCGATTGCATGAAAATTTACGTAAGCCCTATGAACCACATTTCCAATCAGCAAACGGGAACATTCGCTAATAATCAGCTTTTTCCGCATACAAAATTGACCGCTAGAGGAAGTACCCAAGTGTAGCGGTACCAGAAGAAAGTGAAAGTACCGGAGAAAATGTACCTGTCTATGCACCTCTCTTTACTGAAATGCATCGACACCCCACCAGGTTTAAAATATCTGAATTGATACCGACCAAAAGTTGCACCAAACAAACAAACCAACTGGTGGCAGTACCGTTTTACTGTTAGAAAACATTGAGATTAGCGTCCACAATAGCGCCAACTGGTCGTACCGGCGAATCACATTTTTAGTGGGAAGAAGTGAATTTTATTTAATAGTTATCATAAAGTGATTTTTCTTATGGAGACTCAAGAACCGCTGAGGTGCAATATGCCTCTTCAGCAGCTCAATAGAATCGCTAAAAGACCTCCGGTAGACATCGAGTTTCAGGACTTGACGTATTCGGTTCGGGATTCGTACGCAGGAACTGGTAAGTGTTTCTTTCAAGGTAGATTCTATATTTTTTTTATAATTGCCTTAAATTAGCGACGCAATACTTTTGAAACTACTCATCAGTTCAAGCGAAACTGAAAAAGTTTCCAAGAAGTTTTTAAAGTAACGCAGCAAAGAAAATTAATAGATTGCAATTACTTTGGCTGGTCAAATAGACAGTAGGCGATAGTTTGTTTGCAATAATTTGTAAACACGCATTTAATAGTGCTATTTATGGAAAGGTTGGGTTATCAATTTTGCGAATTTTAATTTAAATACATAAATATAGATTTCAGTAGAAATTTATTATTTATAAGATGCATCAATAAAATTTATATCTTCCAAATTACTAAATTTTTCTTAAGTTTGAATATTAAGGTATTGATAGTAATTAGATTTCCATATTATCTAGAAGGATGAGACATCAAATGTTGGAAAACTTGGGTCAACTTTGAGTAAAATACAGTGTGTGGACTATTTTCACGCAACATCTAACGAAACGAAAATTTAACAAAGGCAACAAACACGTAATAAATAAATAAAAACTGCAAAGGAAAGGGGGACTTGGGCAAATCACAGGTGATTGTATAAGGCAGATTAAAATCGAGAGACAGCAAGTTATATAAAATAAAGTCAATATCTGACTTTCTCCGGTAAACAATAAACGAACGGCGAAGACTTGGGAACTTTTGTTCAAAATAAAAATTGTTCATATCTACTTTGCGAATTGCAATTGCGAAGCCAAATTGATATGATTAAACAGAGCAAAATCCATTTTGACTTCTAAGCCCGATTAATTGCATCTAGTCCAATGAATTTTGATTAAAATAGTTCAGAAACACAGATAAATTTAAATACAAGCCTTAATTAATGCAAGATAATTTTTTTCACACAATTGCAGAATACATGCGTTACCGAATTATCACCAGACTTAGTTAATTTATTTCTGTACGATTTGTTATGGTTTTAAATTGTCTGTTTTTAAATATGTATCAGACCATCTCTGGCACGACTGTAACGTCGGCTTTTTCTCGCAAAAATTTTGCACATTTTAAGCGATCTCTTCTAATCTAGTCGACACTCATTTTTAAATGATGAGCTTTGACCGTATGCACATTAATCTGTTACACACTTGTAAACGTTCAAACTACATCTGTATCTAAATTGTGTTTTTTTGGAACAATGTTCAACTTCATCAGGATATGTAATTATTTACTTTCGTTATTTTAACTGCCTTGACATCTCCTCATCAGCTTTTTTTCCTCTATTGATTTCCATTATTAGATTATTCGTTAATTTTATTTTATACTTGTCATATCCATACTTTTTCGCTTATTTGATTACATTTCCTGCTTTCTTCTTGGGATTCGGTTTAATTGATCGGAATCTGATCATTTGGAAATTCATCTGAGTGTCAAGGCGAGATTCTGATTCCATCGCACTTTCTCTGATTTAGACGAACAAACCTGCTCATTACTCATATTTTTTATTAGTCATAAGCTTGAAACGTGATTTTTTTCAAAGGTTAATCGCTGAAAAATAAGTACCATAAGGGAACTAATACATTTTTAAAGCTTTTGTTGATAAATTGCGAATAAAGAAGCTTGTTTAACAGTTAGAAATATGAGTCAATGAAAAGTGCTTACTATGTACTTTAAATATTCATAAAAACTCCATTTAGTTATGTCAGATTTATACGAATCTGCCCAAATTTATGAATTTTGTATTAAATTGTTCTATCCTATTTTAACAGTGTAGTGTAATGCTGTTTCTTTGCTTGTTCTCTTACAGTATGAGGTGCGTGATTTTCTTATTAAATAATTTTATTGACTGTTTTATTCAAAGCGAATTTAAATTACAAATATATTTTGTTATTAATTAGCAAATTTAGCAAACTATTTCTTCGTTCAATCGTGTTCTTGCTCATATCTAATGGTTTCTGCTGCCATTTAGATGCTAAAGTAGAAAGAAAGTCACTGATGTTTTCGATGACCTGTGAAATGCTTCGGTCAACAATTCGTATTTAATGTTAATCGACTCAATCGATGTTTAATTTGCGTTTAAAAAAAGTAAAATTTTTGTTTTTTCCATCTATTTCGACGTTCAATTGGGAACAAAAGAATATTTTGCATTTTTTCGCTAAAAAAGCAAAGTTTCTGATAAAAAAATTGAAAATGGTTGGAATGTCCGAGAAAATAATTGCAATAATTTCTTTAAGATCAACCGTTGATTTTGTAGTTTAATAGTAGTAGTAGTAAAGTAGTAGTTTAGTAAAATTTTTGCAATGTTCAGTTAAAAGTTTATCGAGCAAATAAAGGCAATATTTATAGAACAACCGTTGATTTTGTAGTTTAAAAATATTTTTGTCATTTTGAGTCAAAATTTTATCGAAAAAGTGTCGTAATTTCGAGTTGTAAGTTCGTTTTCCCCGTTCCCCCCCGTTTTTCAGAGTTAATTTTTCGAATGTTTAGCCTAAAACAATAAGCAAAAAGCTGGAATCTTGAGTTAAAAGTAAAAAATAAACAATCAGCTAATAGCTAAAATAAATTAATTTTCAAATAAATCGGATTTAAAGTGAAAATGTCTAATTTTTGGAGAAACTTTAAAAAAATTAAAATGCCCAATTTCATTTATAAATCGGAATTTTCAATGAAAATTGTGTGTCTAAGTGGTAATTTCAACCTATAAGTCAGTATTTTCATGTTCAAAAACAATTTTCAAACGTTAAGTAGAAATTTTCAGTGCGGCAATTAAAATTTTCTACAAATTCATCAAATTTTCGAATGGTTTTTCACGACGAGAATTTCAAGAGTTTTCAATTCGGAAAATAAAAATTTTCAATTTTCTATTTAAGTTTAAAATTCATCCACAAAGTTTCAATTCAAACAGCAGTAAGAATGAACTGGGAAATGTAGTTATTAGCAATTGATAAAAAATTATTCCAACTTAAGTTTATCGTTGTTAAGCAGCAAAAATGGAGTTGATTCAAGTTGCAGAATTTAATATGCAACTTTACTCATCCTGTAAACATTGAAACATGTTTGTCTTTATGTACTGTTTGTTTAGTAAATTAAATAAAAACAGACAAGGAAAAATAATCCTGAGGCGTATGTTCTTCTTGGCTTAAATTGAAGTTTTTCTTAGAAAAAATCAACTGAATAAGCAAACATTTAGAATACATATTGCGATATTTGTTTGCCGTTTTACATTTTTATTAGATTCAAATTATTGAATTTTGAGGTTTTAATGACTTTAAATGATTATTAGCTAACAAATAACAATGATTATTAAAACATTCTGAATGCTAATTGTGGGTGAAGCATTATGCAAATACATTCAAATTTTTTTCCATGCGTTTCACGGCCTGGGAAAAAAACACAATTGTACCCGCAGTTATGAAAAGTAGGCTTTTGTGATTGGGTACAGTTACAGTAAATTACACATTTCAAACTAAAATTCTTTATGAAGATTGCTTAACGTTTTTGTCCTAGTAGTTGCATAATTCCACGAACATAATCAAAGATCTTTCGCATAAAACCTGCTGTCGTGTCCGAAAACTGCATAGAATGCATTTCACTCAATCTGCCTATGCCAACTAAATTATGGGATAGTGCAGAATTTTGCAAGAAATGGTAATCAGCGCTTGCAATTTCTGGTTTCAACAATCGCTGTGGTTTAAGAATAATTGCTCCTATGAGTAGCGAAATGTGGATTTTCAAATAGCGTACAATCTGTTTGCATTTCCGCATTGGTTTTAGTTAACTTTGCTAATATTAGAGCGTAAATGAATCATCGGCGGCGCATTCAGTTAGAAAGCCGGCAATCGGCTTAGATTTGCATTAATTTCTTCAGTTTGGCTAAATCTAGGAAATTTTTCTTAGAAACAATACCAGGAGTTTAAAGATTAGAACTATTCTTGTAAAAAGTCCTTTTTGATCTACGTCTATGGCCCAATTAGGAATGTTAATAAAAAAATGTTATTTATTCTACATTTTTGGGTTCCTAGTTTTCTTTAATTAGCCCGCAGCGAGCAAAATTGTAAACCCTTTTACTATATTTCATTAATTAATATATCCCTTTATAGAATTTTATGCAGAGTATGAGTTATTTGTATTCTCTAGCTTCTTTAATTTTTTCATCTTTCAACTTTAATCCTTAGTTTAAAAGCCCTTTTAACTATTTTACTATAATTTTTATAGGATGGCGTCAATTGCTCAAATCGATCAACGGAAAATTTCGCTCAGGAGAACTAACAGCAATAATGGGTCCTTCAGGTGCAGGCAAGAGTACCCTCCTCAACATTTTGGCTGGATACGTGTAAGTCCTTACTTAAGCACAATGCGTAATAGTAAAAAAACTCAAATAGATAACCTTGTTCGGTGCAGTACGCCTTCTAGTTACGCTCATTGTGTGATTTGCATTAAATTCAAATTTAATTGATTATCATGCGCTGAGTTACAAAAAAAACACATTAGTGCTTAGCTTTGTTTTCATTGACCGTGACTCTGATCGCTAAATATAAGTAGTCTATTTGGAACTTTCCTACATCAGGAAATGTGGTTTTTATGTTTAAGTAGTTAGACACAGACACAGTTAGTTATGGACGATTTATGTAAATTTAAAAATATTGGAGGCATTTAAGCATTTAGTTCTTCTCTATACATTAGAATTACTATTCTATATATTAAAATATTCGCATTTAATTTGCATAATGAAGGAATAACGATATTCTGTAACTTCAGTCAATGAGTCTAAATTGAACATATCGACTAAGATGGAAAATTTTCTATTTATAGATACTTTGTAGTAGACATTTTTAGAGCTGAAAGAAAAAAAAATTGCTGTTTATAGTCGAATTTTTTTGACTCGAAAACCCCTTTCAAATTTTATTTTTAAAATCAATTTTTGAGCTGAAATTATGATTTTGTTGTGGACATTTTCTGGTAAAATAAAAATTATCCTCTAAAAAAGGGTTTTTCTCAAATGCAGATAATTTCCATGATTGCAAACAGAATTGTCAGGTAATAATTACACTTTATGAAACAGTTTCAAGTCTAAAATGTTATGTTGAAAATATGGACATTATTTGGAAATTTCTGTAACCAAGTCACCATTTTCTATTCAGAAAAAATGTATAAAAAAATATAAATAAATTGAGTCTGCTGCTAGATTAAAATTGTTTTTTCAACATTAAATTTCGCATTTTCGCATTAAAATTTTAGCTTTTTGAATACGCAAATGCTTCAGTTGGAGTTTTGATTTAAAAATCTACTTTTTATGCTTATCAGATGATATCTGTTTATGTTTTGAAAATCAGCATATAAAATGGAAATCTTGAGTTGAAAGTAAAACTTTGGGGGGCAACTTTGTATTGAAATTCAACATTTTTCAAGTTGGTATTAATTCGAGTTTAGTGTAGAACTTTCGCAATGTTCTGTTATTTACAAGCAAAATGATATTTCTTACTTAAGCTAGGCGATTTTTTTCTTAAAGTGCAATTGAGATTCTAAGTAAAATGTTGATTGAAAATTGAAAGTGAAAATGAAACCTTTTCCGTACATTTTTTTAAATGAGACAAATTTCTAATCAAACCTCGGTTTTTAGCGAAAAAAATCGAAAATTTTGTATTTCGAATTTCCAGCGGTTAAGCGTGACAATTTCGAGTTTAAAGTAAACATGTTGAGTTTACATTGAACATATCGATTATTTTTGCAGGAAAATCATAGTTTTCCAATCAAAATATCGCTCTTCTTCAAAAGTGAATATTTTACTTTCAAAACTGAAATTTATTTTCTAACGTATTATTGAGCCTGCCTTAAAATCCAAATTTGAAAATTGAGTTTAAAGTAGAAAGTTCCAAATTTAAGTCGGCATTTCGAAAGCCAAAATTTAACATTTTCTATTTGTATTCTATTTAGAATTGTCAATTTTCCTCTTAAAGTGGCAATCTCGCGTTCGTACCTAAAACACTGTTCGCGAAGAGTAGGTACATTTTTAGTTAAAATTCCTATTTCTATTTCCAGCAAAATTAAACTTTTCGTATTTCGAGTTTTCAGTCCACAGTTCTTTTCGGGAATTTTTGTTTAGGTTCCAAAATTCAGATGGAGAGTGAAAATTTCGAGTTTTAAGCAAAAAAAGTCAAAATTTCCAAATGGAAAAATCTAGCCACGTTAAGCAAAATCTAGAGCTTTAAACTATAAATTTAGAATAGGCAAAACTTTAAAAAAATCCTTAAAATAATTTGTTTATTACAAAAATAAAACATAGAATATTAATTGATGTATTCTACCAAATTTATGTATTTGCTGTTGCCAAAATGGCTTTTGAGAATCGAAGTAAAAGGTAAATTTATTATTCGGGCCCATATGAACACCAGCTTATATATAATTCATCAAAAAGCATATACGCAACATATAACTTTATTGTTCCTGACAAGAACAACTGATAAAGACGTATGGTTTTCCACTAAACATTATTAAATATTTTGTGGGGTACGATTCCTTGTTAAATCAAATTTTATGTATATTTAAAGGGTTTTTAAGCACGACAGCTTAAGTAACACATCAAGGCCTTATCCCATCTAATGATTACTGGTTACGAACTATATCTCCGAAGAATCAAGAGTAATCTCGGTTTATAAATCTGCGGCAGGGTTTTAAAAGGGTTAATTTAAATGGTAATAGGTTGCGCTTTTGGACGCTCCCTTGGATACAAAAAAGAACTCTGAATATGCAGATATACACGATTTTTTTACAGGTGCTATAAATATAGAATTTTTTTAACGATGTACTTGTTGGACTCAAGGGAATTTTAGTAAACCAACGCACAGTAACATGATGTGTACAAGTAGATAAATTAAGCAAGAAGTGCATCATAAATCCATACATTTCGAAAAATAAGTCTCGTAAATAATGGTCATTGATCTGAAATGTTGAAAAACCTTATTTGGTTTCTGCAAAATTTGAAACTAGCTTTTCCATTGAAACATAAAAGTCATCCCAGTTGCATTATTTAACAGCTACTGAAGTAACATAAATTGTATGCGACCCTGTGTAGGTTTGAATGTTCAACACATTTTCGTCGCGTTCTCTTAGATTAAATAACGCTTTTAACATTGAAATATCATGCGAAAATTGCCACGACTTTTGTCTTCTAGAATGTTTCCATATTGGAATGGGCACAACGCGTAATGTGCAAGTTTGATATAACTATTGCGCAATTTTTTCATAGAACTGCTGGTGTAAAAGGAAGGATAATAGTCAACGATCGACCGAGGGTAATGAAAGAATTCAATAAAATGTCAGCTTATATCATGCAAGAGGACATCGTCCAACCAAGACTCACTGTAAAAGAAGCGATGATGTTTGCAGCAAGTCTTAAGCTTGGAACTGAAATTGGACAATCGAAAAAAGCGGCAGTTGTAAGTGCACATTTCGATAAGGCCTAGAAGATCGTCCAATTCTCTTCTTCTAGATTCAAGAAGTAATTCAACTTCTAGGCCTCGAATCGTGCTTTGAGACTAGAAGCGAGTTTTTATCTGGTGGACAGAGGAAAAGGCTCTCAGTCGCTCTAGAGCTAGTCAATAATCCTCCAGTCATTTTCCTAGATGAGCCGACAACGTGAGTTGAGGAAAGTCTGGTCAATGTCAATTTTATATGTGTTTTCTAGGGGTTTAGATAATGGCGCAATCAAGCAATGCATAAAACTGCTTCAGAAGATCAGCAGACTGAACCGAACGGTGATTTGCACCATCCATCAACCACCAGCTTCATTATTTAAAAATTTTGATCAGGTAATTGTGTTGAAAACGAAAGAAGCACCTACAAGAAGTGTTTTTGTTCGATTTTCAGGTATACGTGGTAGCTAAAGGATATTGTGTTTACAATGGTTCTCCGGCGAGTTTAGTTCCGTTTTTATCAAAAGCGCACTTTCCGTGTCCTTCCACGTACACTCCGGCTGATTATAGTAAGTAGCGCGATTAACACGCGAAAGAACTTTCCTTTATTTAGAATTTTGCAATAGAATCTTAAAATTCTTATCGATTAAAATTTTCTGATTCAACTAACAAAACTGCTTTTTGTTTCAACAGTTGCGTGAATATTTATTTTTCTTCAAACCTTTCTATTTGATGATTGGTTCTCTAAACAGGCATTTTTGCGCTGGGCAGGAAATCGGTAAATTAGCAAAATTAAGACATTTTAAATTATAGTTAATAAACCCTGTAGATTGATGACTTGAAGTAGTAATTCAAAGAATTGCTAGTGAAGTGCGCATTTCCTTTTTGTATCATTAATATATGCATTATTAAAATTAACTCATAGTCAAGTGCCCAGTTATTGCTGCACATTATCGACGTTTTACTGATAGATAAATGGTTTTGAACAGGAAATTGAAAATATTAAATAACGCAGTTTTTCGCGATATGGTATCGCACACAAACTAACAACAGTAATTATCCTGAGTGCTTTATCTGCATTCTCCTGCAGTTAGTAACCCACTTAATAGACAAAACTGATTCATAAACAATTTTATGTTTATTTATTTATTTATCATCTTTACTGTTGAATGTCGATCAGAAAACTCTATTATGTCGGGAATGTTTTTAAATTGAATGAGGACTGGAAGTTTAGGATGTTACATGATTTCAGTCAGTCAAGTTTCAATAAAACTGAACTTACTTTTGTTCCAGCCAGTTTCTTGCTTCTTAATTAGTTTTCAACTGTTGAATATTAACACCCTGTGTCCAAATTTTTTTGGAGCGAAGCTGGCTGAAATAGTGAGGAACTTGAAAAAGTTAATATATTTTTGCATATTTAATATGAGAAAATATCGGGAAAAATTGACGCATTCACTTAGGTACTAAAGAAATCAATGTACCTATTTCTTGATGTTTAGTTATAGAAATAGTGCATTCCCACCCCGAAATGATCTACACATTAAGCGCGTTGATACAAAACGGAAAAACGAACATGTTGACCCAGCGATGCGACGAGCAGAGCTCATCGACAATGGGAAAGGATATTTTTGAAATACGCAAAGACACTGACCAAACAGGTACTTTCATTGTCTTCCTATAACTTTGAGAATTTACCAGAATATTTGCTTCCTTAGGCCAAACTGAACACGACATAATCTTTCCTCTATCAGTTTGGAGCCAACTAGTTATCCTACTTTCCAGAACTTACCTGCAAACGCGACGAAACCACAGCGTTCTTATTATTCAGTTTTTCCATCATCTGGCGTCTGGTATTCTTGTCGGCAGCATTTTCTTCGGATTGGGAAGCGATGGCAGCCAAACGTTGTCCATTTTCAAGTACATCATCAGTGTGAATGTGTTCTTTATGTACACTTATGTAATGGTGCCGGTGCTTGTATGTAAGTAATACAGAATGTAACAACTTGGAATATTAACGATAATAAAACAGAAAATTACATTTCAAATCTCCAAAAGTATAACTAATATGAAATATTTATTTAATATTTCTTGGAAAAATTGCTTTTTAACTTGTTCAGTAAGTTAAATTCTACTAAAGCGCTTCAATTTTTAATACAAATAAGTACATGTGAAATTTTTTTGTATATAATTCAAGATTCTTACTGGAGATTTGGAGGTAGATACTCCCTTCAACCGCGCGTCTTCATTTCATTAGCATGTTAACTACGTTTCAAATTTGAGGTAAATGTCTCAAAAATTACAAGTTTTGGAACGAAAAACTACATTTTTTCGCTGTTCTAAGTTCTGGCTCATTTTCCCTCACTCGCTTAAAACTGAAACAATATTTTTAATAAATCAGAAATCATTTTTAGTTCCGCTTGAGCTTCAGTTGATGAAACGGGAGTACTTCAACAAATGGTACAGTCTTAAAGCTTACTACTTCTGCTTCACCTTGGCCTCTTTGCCCCTAATGGTAAATATTATTGTGTGTTCATTCATTTCTTCCTCTTCAATACTTGCTGGCTTATTCTTCATACTAAAGACTTTTTCTTAGATATGTTACAGTTTAATGTTCTTGATTATCGTGTATGTGCTATCAAATCAACCTCTCGACCTAGAACGATTCACCTGGTTCTCCATCATAGGCGTATCGCTTGGACTGACTTCGCAGGGTCTTGGGTATCTTATTGGTTCAGTATTCAGTATAACCGTAAGAGCAGTAACAGCTAAAATAAAACAAAAATAAATAAAGTAGTTTCAGAGCGGTTCAGTGGTGGGTTCTTCAGTTCTAGCGCCTCTCCTGGCCTTGGCTTGCTACGGAATGGGTTATAGAGCATCAGTAGAACCTTTCATGAAAGTGATAATCAGCTTCAGCTATTTACGATTCGGGGTAGTCGGATTAAGTGTCGCGTTATTTGGCAAAAGAGAACCTTTAGAGTGTGGCGAGCTGTATTGCCATTATAGGAACCCAGAGGTAAGTCATAGCGATTCACTAATATTCCTTTGAGTGTTGATTGGTGTTTTTTCGTTTATAAATTAGATGCTGCTAAGAGATATGGGCATGCAAGACGAAGACTACAAAGTCCAATTCTACATAATTTTAGGATATTTGTTGTTGTTCCGGATACTCGCTTATTGTACACTGAAATACCGTTTAACTTCCGAGTTGTCGAATAAAATCGTTTACTTTGCAGCTAAAGTAGTTCGGCAAAAAGAATAAAAAGCGTCTCCGAAAGTGTTTCAAATTATTGTGATAATCATTAATCTAGTAAATTTAGTTAAGTAAAATTATACTACAACTGGAGTAGGCATACTGTATAATATTGCTCTCTGATAAATAAAGTATCGTAGCTGTTTAGTTATGGTAGCTGTTTAGTATGGTTATATGGGCCAGTGATATTGACTAGTTACGTTTAATTCAGTAGAAAAACTGGGATTAGTTATGTTCATACCTGTTCTTTTGCGATTTATTATAAGAATTCTCTAACTATAGAAGGCGCTTCATTTAAATTGTTCAGTTTGGAGCATTAAAAAATCCGAACCTAAATGGAATTTTATGGTATATCAATTTCGATATGCAATTCTATTCATTTGAATTTCGTTGGGACTTCTGCCGGGTTGCAAATAATCGAAATAACGTGCTAATAGAATATATTTGAAAGTGTTACTTAGCATACTGGAGGAGTATAGCATTAGATACACATGCTTTGATTGATTAACAAATAACATCCTCATAAATAACGTTTAAAATATGGAATCACATCACTCTAAGTAGATGGTATCAATCTATAGACAACAACTACAGACATTTATTGTTTGCTTCATTATTCAGGGTTCAGCAGTAGATTTTTAAAATAATATTCTTGTCACAGAGAAAATAAAATATTTAATTTTCTCTATGGTTCTTGTGTATAATAGTGAAGAAAAATAAAATAGGTGGTTCTATTAAAATGTTTGACCACCCTGTGATTTTTTCTAAAACAAGGACCAAGTTTTTGAGCTACTGGAAATTGGCGCACTATCGCAGAACCCTGAATAATCAAGTCAAACTCTGTTTCAATGTCAAAAGAATAAAAAATCGTTAAAAAAATACAAAAATCTTCATTTGTACCTTTACAATTAAATAAGTAGAAACGAATCTAAAAAACTGGCACTAATATCACAATTTCCGGTTCATCAGCAAAAGAACTACACAGTCTTCAGTCATACTTCTTCCATTTGCAGCATTTCTTCCTCATCTTCATTTTTTTCAATATTCCGCTGCGAGTTGCTGACTGGGTTTTGCGAATATAAATAAATGGCATACATTACGGTTCCTATAGCTAGCGCAGTGTTCAAATAAACAGGAATTCCAAACAGAATCCATGACAAAAGCGCCGTTAGCACTAGTTCTAAAGCGCTGGCAAACGTTTTTAAAATCGAATTTAAAGTTTTTAAAAACAGGCTGGTGACAATGCCAACAATCGCGTTGTTGGTCATTACCAAAAGCACTTTGTGGTTGAGCAACTTGACTAAATTCTCATAAAGAAACGCACTTGCAATAGAACCGTTGAATGCCAGCAGGATTACATTGCAAATTATCGAATCCAGGTACATGAAAACGTTTTGTACGAAAATGTTCACTTCACTGCCTTGATTTTTCAGCAGATACTCGTTGTACACTCCGGCAAAGCACGAACAAAATATCTGAATGAAAATGAAAATTGCATTTATACCCAATACTAGAGACTGTGACTTTGCGTTCTCTGGTGCGGCCGATTCCATATCTTCGCTCATAGGAATCTGCTTGAGCATGCATCCCAACGTTAGAATAATAAGTGAAAGCCATTGTTTTTTGCTTAGAAGCTTTCCAAATATCACCTGGAAGCGTATGATCCAATTAGTGTTCAAGTTGTACAAATGTGTGTTGATTGAATGAAAAAATGCTCAGTTTTGCAACAGCTGAATTATGGAATATTAACTGGGTTATTTCTAAAAGAATGGAAATGGAAAGCATTATAATAAATTATTTTTCGAACCGTTCATTAAACTTAGTGACCATTGACTAAATATTTTATTTAAGCAGAATTTCCTATCAGACACCGATTTTTCGAAATTATCCTTAATATTAGAACTTTAACGTTAATGTTAACTCACCTGAAATAGAATTCCAGTTACAACCACTCTTAGCTGTAGCAGCAAGTAGTAGGTGGTGGGATCAAAGGATGATAAATTGACAAAAGCTAAATTATTGTACAAACAGTAGAGAAAAGCTGGGACAAAGTAGAGTACCAGAACTTTCTTGTTAACAATTATTTCATTAACAAGTTGAGCAGGATTGTGCCTAAAAAAAGTTCTAAATAACGAAAAGAACCTAAATAAACAAAGAATATAAAAAAATACAATTTTTCAATAACATATTTGAGACTCTATCAGTTATTAATTTTTAAACGTTTATTCCAGATAACAATGGTACTTACTTTCTACAGTAGAGCGCTGATGATAACAGTAACTTTAAAATTTCAGTAAATAAAACAACTGTAACAATGTTGTAGTCATATTTGTTGTTGGATTCTTGGGAAGCAGTTACTAAAATCCCTGTGGAACAAATCAAGAAGCAAATGAGTTGTTTGCACTAACGCCGCAAAAACAATGTGAAAATTAACTGTAAATATTTTTAAAACATTTTTTTAACTAAAAACCAATAAGCTGGGCGAGCTTTTTGTCAGTAGGTACATTAAAGAATAATATAATAAATAACTTACCTTGACTGACAAACAGCAAAATATACACTACAAAAATAACTTGGCTGAACTTGGAAGGAAATAAGTCCCTCCAAGAGATTCGAGTCATGGTTCTAACTAGTAGATCAAATTGAATTTATAAAATACTATGAAATTTAATTAAACAGTTCTTTGGGTTTTTTTAACTAAATTCTATTAGTTTAGGGCTTCTTGGTACTTAGGGATTTGGAGCTGGTTAACTGCTGACATTTTCAGAACGTTAAATTTCACGGTTCACAAAACACGCCCCATTACGACCACATCATATGAAAAAACATTGTTAAAGATAAATTTTCAACAAATTTATTTCAAATGTTTACTGTGCAAAACCTAACCAAATTTTTTGAAGTGTCAGTACTGGACAGGGTTGCCTGTCTGGAATTTAAAAATCAACAGGATGTCGCTAGACGGTTGCCAGACCTTATTAAACTTACCTAAACTTTATATGGCGAACAAT